CAAATCTTATCTGCATTTTTTATCATGCTAAATTATTAATAACACAGGTTCTAATTAGCATATAATAATCTTACCAGCCCCATTCATCAAAATAATAACAATATAATATTCTTACGGGTGCCCCTACTTTTAAGGAAGTGGGGTTTAAATTAGTGAAGTCGTAGTTTGATCATAGATCTGTCTTTATGTTCTATATAATCCTCTGCCGTTGATTATATAGAAGCAGACGATTTTACGGCAAATTTCTAGTTTATTTTCAGTTCACTTTGTATTCTCATTTTCTATAAATCAACCAATTTTTTTATTATCAATAATATTTTGGTCCAATTTTTTGTAATACTTTATTAATAATTGCCAATAAATGATAGGAAAATGAGCATCATGTATGCGAAGGACTACATATACACGTTTTCTAAGAGCCAACATCAAGAGACACTATATACCTCTCACTCTTGCCTATTAATTTAAATGCTAATCTTTCTTCAATTAAAGAGCCAACATCAAGAGTCTATACCTCGATCTCCAAGGATAATGATTATATCTGATATTATACTACCAAAAGTGAAACAAAGAAAAAAAAATAAAGTTCTTAGAAATATATTCTAATGAGAGATAATGATTGTACCCACGAAGAAAAGTAAACAAATCCTGGCACCGATGAACTTGCAGCCCTTTTGTTGACAACAAGATCTCATTTGTTGAGTTTTTTTTTATGTAATTAAAAGAGAAACATAAATCCGAAAAGATATCAATTTCAAGAGTAAACAGAAGGATATTTTGGTCATTTTTGCTTTCGTTCCCACGAGTAAGAAATATTATAACAAACCCCTTTCGTAGAAATATAGCTCTCTGAAGAGTTAAATTTGTTCCCAGGAGCACACAGGTTAGCCTTCTCTAATAATGTCAATGTCAAATCTCAAGGGCTATGCTGCAATCAAGTATGGAACTGGAAACCAATAGTTAGGAGAGCTATTTTTGTTTCTGATAGAAAAGAGGTGGATGATCTTAAAATTTTCCTTGCTAATGCCTCCAGCATGATTACTTTGAGATAGAGACCACGTTTGGTGGCCTCTCACTCCCTCAAGCATCTTCACAGTGAAATCTATGTATATGCTCCTCATGGTTGTCTTGTGTGTGTGTGTGTGGGGGGTGGGGTGGGGGGGGGGGGGGTGGTTGATACTCAAATTCTTTTTTTAGCTTCTTTGTTTTCCGTAGAAACTAGTTTTTTTTTTAAGATTTTGGGGTTTCATCAAACATTTATGACTCTGCAACAGGTGGCGGTGGGTCCGTTCCGTTCAAAGTATGAATTGCTATCATGAATTTCTTTTACTTTTAATCAGCGTTAATTTCTGGAGGCAAGCGATCTTTTATTAATGATTGAATGGCGCACCTAGGGCTGTCCAAAGCCCGTCGGTCTGGGCGCCGGCTTCGGGGCTTGGCCGCGAAACCGGATCGGCCAGACCCGGGTCAAGGCTCGGGCCTTCTCGACTTGCGACAGCCCGGGCCCGGCGGTTACGTGCCAGCTAAGCACAGAAAACGGGTCGGGCGGTCCGGACCCGAAGCCCGACCGCAACGGTCATCAGAGGTGACCGGTTTGGCGAAAGGCCCGCACCGACCCGGTCAAAACGGTCATACTTGACATTTTGATCGTTTTGTACTAAAAACGTCAAAACTGGGTATTTTGTGAGGGTTTTTTGGTCATTTGACTAGGAGGTTGCCTCTATAAATAGAGGGGGATTTTCACTTCTTCTCCTCACACCAAAACTCATCTACTTCTCTCTAATACTCTCTTATACAATCTTATACTCTCTTATACTCTCTAATAATCTATTATATTTTCTAATCCTTCTATCAAATGGCTTCCGAATCTGATTATGAAGAGCAAACCTATCTCCTACCGCTCTTAAAATGAGTCCTTCTATAACAACTACTCCTACCGAACCTACCGGTGTTAATCCTGAATCCGGTGGTGACGAATCTGCACCAAGAGCTCCTAAAAGGCCGAGATCCAATGTGTGGAATTTTTTTGAGAAGATAGACGTCACCAAGGATGAACACGGTAGGATCCTCATCTAGAATGCTAAATGTGCGTTGTGCGGCCAGACTTTCCAAACTCATCATAAGAACGACACCAACCACCTCAAACGTCATATAAAAAAACACAACAAAGGTCAGAATCCTCAATGTGATATCCGACAATCTATGATTTTCCAATCCTCCTCTTCTGGTAGTCTCGGTAGTTTGAATTATGACGCTGCCCGAGCTAGAAAATGCGTAATCAGGTTTATCATTCTTAAAAACCTTCCTTTTAAATTAGTAGAAGATAATAAATTTGAAGATATGTTTAGAGATAGTTTTTATCCCGCATTTACAAAGTTTTAATCCCGCATTTATAAAATTTTCTCGTCAAACCTATTAACGTGATATTTTAAAACATTATCAGGAGGAACAAAGAAAAATAATTTCTTATTAAAATATAAACTATAAATTTTCTTTAACTTCTGATATTTGGACATCTAGAGCACAAACTGATTATTTATGTATTATAGCACACTAGATTGATAAAAATTAATAAATGTTTAAAAGAGCTGTTTCCTTTATTGCATTTGAAGAGTCACGTACTGGTATTAATATTGTAAATTTAATAATTGAAGAACTTATGAAAGTAGAAATTGATCAAAGAATATTTTCTCTTTCACTAGATAATGCATAATGTAGCTGTTGATTTTATCAAAACAACTTTGTCATTATCATGGCATTGTGATTTTTTTCATATTAGATGTATCTATCATATTTTAAATTTAATTGTTCAAAGTACATTTACTGAAATTAAACCCATGATAGAAAAGGTTGAAACAGTTGCTAATATACATAATGCTTCTGAACAAAGAATTAAAAAATAAAAATAATATTACAAAAGAAAAAATTATAAGCCCAGACTAATTCCAAAAGATGTTGACCATAGGTAAAATTCCACCTATGCAATGTTAAGTGTGGCAATAGAATATAAAGAAATTATAAATAATTTTATAAATTATTATGTTTCTAGTTCTAGTTCTGATAGCACTTATGGAATAACTAAAAATGAATGGACAATTATATGTAATTTAAATGAGATTTTACAAGTTTTTTTATGATGCTACAATGTTATTATATGGTTGTTATTATCCAACTATTACTTTAGATGCTTTACAAATTTTAAATATTCAAAAAAATTTAACAAATACTGTATGAATGATACTGTTGGAGCTATATTTTTTCAAATGGAGAGCAAATTTAATAAGTATTTTAGGCTCATTCCTCATATTTTTGGTTTGGGGTTCTTATTGATCCATGTTTGAAGGATATATTACCCTTCGAAGTTTGTTACAATCATTGTCTGATGGACATATTATAGATTTGGATGATGGATCCACCATTACTGCTACTTCTCATCATTTAGCTATTAGAAATTATTTTCAAACCTTATATGATGAGTATGCAGCTAGACATAGTGTAGCTGCACAACAGTCTACAACTTTGGCGCTTTCGAGCTCAGACCGAGGTAAAAGTGTAAGTTTTGATAGGTATGTAATGGTAGCCGAGCTAACTGGTGGATCTGGACTTGGATCATCATTAGAGGTTTCTGAAATAGATGGATATTTATCTGTTTTTTTAGTTAAATGTCAAGGAAATCCTTTAGATATTTTGCAATGGTGAAGAGTATATGGATCAGTTTCATATCCTATACTTTCCATCATGGTTCGTGACTTACTAACAGTGCAGATTTCGAAGGTAGCTTCGGAATCTGCCTTCAGCATAGCAGGATGTTTGATCGATGACCACAGGACATGCTTAGATCTGTATACTCCACAAGCGGTGATGTGCTTACAAAATTGGTGGAGGTACGAGAAGCGAACGCAATGCATCGATCGGATGACTGGAATTAAAGATAAATTTAAAGAGTTGGGACTAGTAGATAGATATAAAGATAAACAATATTCATCAAATTATAATTTTTATTTCTTAGCTTTAAATTTGTAATGAATTATTTTAGAAACAGTTATAAATGATAGTGATATAGGTGAGCAGGTGCCAACCTAGTTGGGATGTACTCATCTATTATGATGCGACGAATTCCGAAATAAATTTATACTTGTCAACCTAGTTGGGATGTACTCATCTATTATGATGCGACGAATTCCGAAATAAATTTATACTTGTAAATGATTTACTGATTATTAATAAAGAAGTTATTTTTATCATCTTTTATTTTTATAATTTTTTATATTTGTAATTTATGTCATTTCAAGTTATTAATAATATTATTGATTTTTATTAACATTTTTGTAATTTTTTATGTATATTTCAAATTTTAAAGAGATTTTTAAAAAAATTAAAAAAAAGTTTAAAAATCTAGGCCGACCCGGAGCCCAACCCGCTCAGGCCTGGGTCCGGGCCTGGTTCCGGGCTTCGATTTTTCCCGGCCTGGGCCCGATTTTCCGGGCCGGCCCGGATGTACAGGCCTAGGCGCACCCTGCCCTGTTTTTATTCAAAAAAATAAAAAAAATACAAATCCCTTTCCAATCCTTACATCCGTCTGCGCTTATTTCTAAATCCAATCAGCGAAATGTTATTGTCAGCTTATTTTGCAAAATGAGCTATTAAGAGATAATAATAAGATTCATCCGTTTCCAAAGTGACTATTATAACATTCTTGGTAACTCGTCTATTTCTTAACGGCACATTTAACAAAATATATATAACAAGCAGTATAATAAAAATCAGATGCTTTTCTATAGTTATACATCATTTTCATTAAATAAACTACTTGTCAATACCAACTCCCCACGCAAGAATCATAAGCCCACCTAAAGTCTAGCCAGTGGGTTTCATCAATCAACTCAAATCATCATCCCATAATACAACCGTTTATGTTGTCCCATCACCAATTTTAAAATACCTCCCCCACAAAATACTAAATTATTTTCTCCACCACTTTGGGAGCCTTTAAAAAGAATGCATCGCCCAAATTCTCCATTCTCTCCCAGGACGACCGACGATATATAAATCATGCTCCTCCGGCAATCTCCGCCGGCGATCCGAAAGCTACCCGACCCGATAAGATCCATGGTTGCGGGTTGGGCCAGCCCATTAGAACGAAACCCGCAGTCTCCGAAAGGTTGGAAGAATCGCGAGTCGGACGGTATCGGGTTGGGTGTGGTGTTGGTAACCCGACCCAATAAGGTGCGATGCGCACCGGAACCGATTAGTATCGGTTCCTACGGGAGAGCTTATCAATTTGGGCGCAGACGGAGTGCTTGTGATGAGAACGGAGCGGAGAAGGATCGCGGGTTATTTTATCGGTCGTCGAAGGCGACGGCCGGCGATATTTTAGGAGGTTTCCGGCCGGCGGAGTTTCTCAACTTTTGCTATTTGTGTCGGAAGAAGTTGCATGGGAAGGACATTTACATGTACAGGTAATAAATTACTACTCGCAATACTTCTCTATTTTTCATATAAATATGGATTAATTACATATAATTCCTTGTTCGGAACAAAGTTATCTCTCTGTTTTCCGTATCCGTAATATAAAGGGATATATAATTAATTGCTATGGCCCCGTTTGGCAAATGGTTAATGAAGAGGGGTTAAAGAGAATGATTAATGTACTTAGCCCATTTGATAATCCGAAGGACTAAATTATTAACCCGTTAAATAAGTTTTATTTTAGCCCTTATGATCAGTTTTAGTGTTTGGGAATAACAATGATTTTGACTATTTTCTTTATAATTAGAAGGGTTAACTCTTATTCCATCTAAATAGGAGTATTAGTAAACCCCTCATTTTGAGGGGTTAACTCATTTTAACCCCTCTAGAGGGGTTAACTTAACCCTTCTATATTTTTTATGTTTGGCAAATTATGGAGGGTTAACTCACTTTAACCATTATATAGATTTGTTGTGTTTGGCAGGTTAAGAAAAGGTTAAGTCTCCTTAACCCCTCACTTAACCCTTTGCCAAACGGTACCTATAAGATAATAGAAGATTTCTCTACAATATGCTGACATGGCATAATATCCCTGTAACTCTTACGTATTAGGGTCGGAAAATTAAATATGTAATAAGTGATTGATCCCCCCGTAACACGGAGAGTACTCTATCTGCAAGTTACCTTTTAAACTCCGTTATATTTGATCTATATTTTGGTAAACTTATTTTGTAGTTAATTAAATCAACATATTATGTATGTTAGTGATGAAATTATTACTTAAGCTAATTGCTTTTTTATTTTATTTTATTTTTTTGTTTGGATGTTACAGAGGAGAGAAAGCATTTTGTAGCGTTGAGTGTCGATGTCAACAAATCGCAAGCGACGAGTTCCACGAAAAGTGCAGATCTGAAGCCTTGAGAGCTTGCGATGCCTCAAGATCATCTTGTACCGATGATCATCGGCTCTTTTTTACGGCCATCTCTATAGCATAGCTACAGCGAGGAAAAAAAATTTATGTAGAGAAATTTTTGTAACGCAAAGTTTGGTTAGCTATCAACTTTTTTGTCATAAAAATAATAATAATATGGCGTAGTTGACCGAGCAATGAAAACACATTCCAGTCAGAACAATCTATAGGCGAGCATGTTTTTTAAGATCAAGAACACAACGAAATTCTAAACTACCCCCCTATTTTTATATCGTATGTATGAATCATAATATCCAACGCACGTGCGAACTGTTTTGATAGAATTTAAACTTCTATTTTTGTTCAGACTTGATGAGCTAAGCCAAAAATAGACCCGACTCCGTCCCGCTTAGGGGTGCCAAACCGTATCCGTATCCGAGGAAATATCCGTAACCGTATCCGTTAGGATACGAATATGGTTACTCAAATCTATAACCGATAGGATATGGTAACGGATATGGTTTTGTAGTGAAATATCCGTATCCGTATCCGAAAATATCCGAATACATATTGGTCATACTCTTACTAAAGTTTCGATTATGTATCCGTATCCGAAAATATCCGAATACATATTGGTCATACTCTTACTAAAGTTTCGATTATTAGATTACGGATTTGCGGTTAATTTTGATGATCAAGATGTCTAATCTTAGCTTTTCAATCATAATGAACATATTAACGAACTCTTTTAATCTTAGCTTTTCAATCATAATGAACATATTAACGAACTCTTTTTGTATCATATGAATATATTTTTCTAAATACTATCTAGTTTGAACTCTTTTTGTATCATATGAATATATTTTTCTAAATACTATCTAGTTTTCTCATATCCTTTTTGTATTCGCATGCATATCCGTTTATATATCCGCATCTATATCCGTAACCGTATCTGATTTTGGCGGATATGGATATAAATTTTTCTTACCGACGTATATCCGTATCTGTATCCGTATCCGTATCCGAGATGGGTAAGCGGATATGGATATGGTAAGTGCCATATCCGAGCCGTATCCGCTCCGTTAACACCCCTAGTCCCGCTGGACTAGCCTAATAAACATCGCTTTAATCAAGCAAAATCTAGTGAAATTTCACAAAAAATGTAATGAGGTTCTAATAATTCAAACAAATCAATCAAACCCTAGAGACCAAAGTGTCAAATAGTCAACTAATTACACTGAAACTGTAATTACAAGGTTTAATCTCACCTAAGCTGTAAAATGCCACGACGCAGCACAACCAAAACATGCTAATTAAGGGGCTCTCGTATCCGATGACCCCATTCGATACGAAAGAAAATATCAATGTGGGTCCCATGTCCTTGAGGGTGCAAAAGTGGGTATTCGAAGCTTTTTTTTCTTCCTCTCGAACGTGTGCAAGCTTCGTCTCCCTTTTTCCTATTCAAGCATTTAAGTTCGTCCTGACAACAACAAGGTAACCAAATATATTAATCGAATCCTAACAATTATAAATTTATTATGTTATATATTATGAGCTCGTTCGATTCACGAAAAATTATAAATATAGCTATAATAATTATATAATTTACAGTATATAAGTTTTGTCATGATCACATTCTTCTTCTTTTGATTTACACACGCGCATTTCATTTTTTTGTGAGACAAATATTCATGATCGATTTTCGTCGTCTCTCGTCACGCGACTGTAACGAGAAAATATGTCTCGCTGAATATGCGCATGAAGAAAATTATGATTTTCCTAAATTTACGAAATAAATTCCATAAAAATATGAAAGTAGGACTCGATGGAATTAGAATCTAAAATATGTATTAGTCTCAAAAAAAATCATTGAGGATCTATTTAAGGCTAGACATCTACGATTACGATATCAGTAGGGCTGCGATAGATAGCGAAAAATTTACAAGTTTAACTGTAGTTGTAGTTGCAAGTATTTTATTAATTTGGAGATTATCAAAATTGCAATATAAACCTCATTCACAGCTTTACAAAGGTTGCAACTGCGACTCACCGTTATCTTTTTTGTCCTCAACTCCCGCTTTGCTTCACGCTTCCCGTCCGTTG